TGGTGCAAAGTCGCCTAAGTAAATTACAGACTAGTAAAAATCTCACCAAATAAAAATTCAGGAACTAATATTACAGTAACCAAGCCTCTTAGCACCAGCACTCTGTGCACTTGCAATGTTGACACACTGTAATGTTCCTGGAACCAAAGAGCCGGCATCCCCGGCGCCGTGGGGCACGCCCGTCTTCCCAGCAGCTCGGGAGGCTGAGGCAGGAGGATCGCGAGGTGGAGGCCAGCCTCAGTCACTGAGCGAGGCCCTGAGCAACTCAGCGAGATACTGATCCAAAAAGGGCTGGGGATGTGGCTCAGTGGTTAAGGGCCCGTGGGTTCAATAATAGGTAACAAAAAAATAAAAAAAAAAAAAGACACCCCCCGAGGTGGCCTCCGTTTTCTCTCCCAGCCTCCACAGGAGGCAGGAGGAGGAGAGTCCCGGGTTACGCCTAAGGAGCCTGAAACCCACGCAAATGTGCACGGCCGAACTCCGACGCCGGGAGCCCTCGCGACCTGCCGCTGGTCCCCTCCGTCCCCGTCCACCCACCCACACGACTCACCATGGCGAGTGTGAGGCCGCCGCCCTGGGGCCGCGCGGTCCCGGCCCACCTCGCTTCACAACCGGCTACGAGGCCGCCCCTCGCGGGAACCGAAAATTCTAAGTGCCGACAGACACGGAGCTTTCTGTCGGAAGAATAAAGGAAAAGGGCCGGAAGTAAACGTGAGCTTGAAGGACCGGAAGTGAAGCACAGGAAGTCAATGAGAGCCGAGGGAGGAGGAAAATAACGTAGGAACGCTCTTGGGCGGGTGGGTGGCCTTCCCACGAGCGTAAGACGCAAAATAGCGCGAGTACGTGGGGAGGGGCGGTGGAGAGAGGGGCGTCGGTAGAATTACGCCTGCGCAGTGCAACGGGGGTGTTTGGGCGGCCGGGTTTTCTTCTCGCGAGAACAAGTGCTTCTCGCGCTAACAAGTGTTTCTCGCGATAACAAGTGTTTTACGTGTTACCTGTTGATGCGGCGGAAGTGAGCGAAATCGGGGTTTGTTGGTGCGGGAAGCCGTTTGGGGTTATTGTCGCCTCTTTGCCTCTTCTTGGTTCTTCCGTGACAGCGGATGTCATCCCTTTAGAAACTCTTCGTCCCCCTCTCTTCGCACAAACGGAGTCTTTGCCACCCGCCCTCGTGGACTGTGGCCCCAGCAGCTGCAGAAATCCGAGCCGGTGTCTCGGGTCCGAGGGGAACGCGAGTCCCTTCCTCGGGGACTCGCCTAAACGTCACCTTCCCTCGTCATTTACATGGGGTCTGGGCGTTTGCTGAGCTCGTCTGCTGGCTCCGAGGGGCGCAGGAGGTCACCCTCCTCTAAAAGAAGGACTGAAGCCGGGCGCGGAGTTCGCGCCTGTCATCCCAGCGATTCGGGAGGCTGAGGCAGGAGGATCGCAAGTTGGAGGCCAGCCTCAGCCACTTGGGGAGGCCCTGTCTCAAAATAAAATTTAAAAAGGCTGGAGGTGGGCTCAGTAGCACCAGGGGTTGAACCCAGGAGCCCTTAACCACCAAGCCCCATCCCCAGCCATTTTAATATTTATTTAGAGACAGGGTCTCACCCAGTTGCTTAGCACCTTGCTTTGGCTGAGGCTGGCCTCCAACTTGTGATCCTCCTGCCTCAGCCTCCAGAACTGCTTGGATGACAGGCGTGTGCCACTGTGCCTGGCTGTGATGTGATTCCTTGCTTTCTGTTTTTTATTTTATTTTTATTTATTTTTTTTACAAAACATGTTCAATCTTTCCCTCATGCAATCAGATGGGATTTGTCCTCACACCCGATGAGCGAAACCCTTTGAGGATATTTATCCTGTTTTAAGTTATCTTTTAAAGAACCTAATAAAAATACACTGTCATTTGCCTTTCTGTTTGGTGACAGCCATCACGCGTGCCAAGGTGAGGACAACATGTACCTCCAGGAGGTGTGGAGGAAACAGTAGTTCTGTGTGACTTGTTTTGGTACTGAGGACTAATCCCAGGGACAATTAACCACTGAGCCCCGTGCCCAGTCCTTTTTTATTTTTTGAGAGTAGTCTCCTTAAATTGCTGAGGCTGGCCTCTAATTTGTGATCCTCCTGCCTCAGCCTCCGGAGTTGCTGAGATTACAGGGACGGACCACAGTGTCACTTACTCCTCAGGGTCCACCGTTGGCAGTATTTGGGCACCCCACCTGACCAGAGGAAGTGCCCAGATGGGGATACAAAGCCAAGCAAGGTTATGCCATGTACAGAAATGAATTTGTGGGGGTGACAAATAGGTGAAGTTTCTGATAGCCTTCAGTCTGTGGCTGAGGAACGCGCTGGATGCCACTGTGGGGCTCAGAGCCCCAAATTCCTAGTAGGTTGGTGAAGATGCTACACGTAAATTCTTTGAGATGATCCTCCATGCCACAAGGCCAGAGTGCGGATGGGTATCTGTTCTTAGGCATGATCACTTGCTTATAGTTTTTTTTTTTTTTTCAAGAATTAAAAAGTGCGGGCTGGGGTTGGGGTTCAGCAGTACAGCACTCGCCTAGCATGCGCGAGGCCCTGGGTACCAGGGACGGAACCCAGTGGTGCTTAACCCCTGAGCCCCGTCCCCAGCCCTTTTCATATTTTAGAGACAGGGTCTCACTCTGTTGCTTAGGGCCTAAGTTACTGAGGCTGGCCTCCACCTTGCGATCCTCCTGCCTCAGCCTCCGAGTTGCTGGGATAACAGGGATGTGCCACTGCACCCTGATCCTTGGGTGACTTTTTTTTAAATTGGTTTTCAGTATTTATTAAAAACCTCAAAACCATGGAACCCCTGTGTCTATTCCTGTCCATCGTGTGACATGAGAACAAGGCTACATTCACATTCACAAAAGGGATAATAAATGCTTAAAAACATCAACTCAAAGGACATCAGAAGCCAAGGGTCCCATGACCACATTTCCACAGGAAACACAGGCCCCCGTCATGGAAAATCTGCAAGATGGTTTTCCATCAGTTGTGTTAGCAGAGAGAGCCCCGTGACCCAGCGTCTGCCACACACCTGTAATACACTCCTGCCCCCCAAAATCCTGAAGCTCAATCGAATGCTCAAGCCTCCAGACCAGGAAACGTTGGGGACACTGAAAAAATAAGATGATGCCCTAGGAAATAATTGGTGAATTTGACTTTGAATTATTATAATGGCATTATGAGAAAACATTTTTATATATATTTCTTAATTGTTGATAGACTTTAATTTTATTTGTTTATATGTGATGAGGATTCGAACCCAGTGCCTCACACATGCCAGGCAAGTGTGCTACTGCTGAGACCCAGCCCCACATCTTAATCCTTATGAGACTCATGGTGAAATATTGAATGAGTAAGAGTCACATCTTTTTTGTTTTTTTGGTACCAGGGATTGAGCCCACGGGCGCTTAACCACGTTAGCCACATGCCCAGCCATTTTTTTATCTAGAGACAGAGTCTCACTAAGTTGTTGAGGCTGACTTTGAATTTGCGATCCTCCTGCCTCAGCCTCCAGATCCACTGGTGGAACTTACTTTCAAATGGCTCAATTACAAATGTCAGCTCTCTGATCACTCCCTTCAATCATTCTTTCTGAAATTCTTCAAACGCACCCAATAGGCAAGATCACTATGTGGTCCACACCTGATCAAGACGTGAAGGCACAGTTACTAACAGCAGTCTGTCCCTAACAGATGTATATTAATGTTAACTGAAGCCACAATAGGAATATGGCCAGGTGAAGTGAGGCACCTCTGCCATCCCAGATGAGGCTGAGGCAGGAGGATCCCAAGTTTCTTTTTAGTCAATGGACCTTCATTTATTTATATGCAGTGCTGAGAATTGAACCCAGTGCCTCACGCAGGCCAGGCAAGTGCTCCACCACTCAGCCAGAGGTGTGCACCCCCTCACCTTAAATTTCAATTCCAAGAAGACATTCATACAAAGCCATGTTTCTACCTTCCTACCAGGTTTTTCTGCAAAATTCTCATTCCTATGCGAGTCGCACACTGATGCCTATTGAGTTGGATTTCCCTGTTAAATACTTGTTCATGTTGCAACTGCTCCATCCTCAGGGTCAAGGCAAAAAATGATCTTCTGAAGGGAAACGTGGTGGTTTGTTGGGAACAGGTCAGCTACTGAGGTTGGGGTGGGCAGATCACAAGTTCAGGGTCAGTCGGGCAGTTTAGCAAGAGACTGTTTCAAAATCAAACAGTTCAGTGGTAGAGCCTGAGGACAGGATAAAAGGGGGGTTCATTCACAATGTTTGCTACTCCTGGTAGAAAAATCAAGACCATCAAGATATTTAATGGACTTAGGATCTGAGACATAGTTAAATATCCCCCAAAATGATGCTAAAGTATATTCACAAGGAAATGAATGTCATAACCTCACTTCAACGGGTCTGGCACGTTAATTTGACATGGCTGGATGGGTACACGTAGCCATGCAGCAGAGCAAGCAGTTTTATGATCTTCTGATGACCTCATTAAACCAGATGATTAAGTCCATTCCAACTCTGAGAGCCCGGAAAAACAAGGAACTGCAACATCTCAGCTCCATGTGAAACCAAGAAAAAGCACGAATTGCTAAAAACAGCAATTGTATTAAAACTTCAGAATGAACAGAGGATGAAAGGGCTGTGGTGACCAATGGGTTATAAAGAGAATTAAATTTCCTAGCCCGGTTTGGTGGCTCACGCCTGTCATCCCAGCAGCTCGGGAGGCCAAGGCAGGAGGATCGCAAGTTGGAGGCCAGCCTCAGCAATGCCATCTCAAAAAATATAAAAAGGGGCGTGGATGTGCTTCAGTGTCGAGGGCCTCTGGGTTCAATCCCTGGTTACGCCCTCCCCACTCACCCCCTAAAAGAGGAGAATTCAATTTCCTACAGCTCTGCCAACAGCCGACCCTGAAGATCCACTCCCCGCGTGTCCTCAGAATTCGCTCACCGCAGTCATGACTAGTTTCGTACCAAAAGAAAAAGTCCAAACTGCCGGCTTTCAGTCCTCCACATTCCCCTCTTTAATATGGCATTTCACACTATATACATGAATGAAAATTGGAAACAAAAAGAACTTTAGTCAAATTCCCCTTCCTCCTCCACCTTTATTGGAATAGTTTAAAATTACATTTTTCTATTTTTTTTCTAGGACTTCAGTTGCTTTTTCCATCGGACTTTTAAAAACTGATTACAGCAAATGAAACACAGTTGTCTAAGTGATATAGTATACAAAAATAACATCTTGATTTCTGTGAAAATGCATTTCTCTGCAATTCCTGAATAACTCCAAATTATGCTAACTCTCGAGCATCGATGTTGACTCTGGGTTTTTTGAGATTTCGTCTTTGAAAAAAAAACAATGTGTTCTAAACCTTTGCCGTCACCATCTGTAGGTCCAGCAGCAGCAGATGCTGCAGAGAAGCTGTTTCCTGTTTTTAGGCTTTTATCCCGGGTGCTCTCGCCTTAGCCATCCACACACACTTTCGTCTTATTTTGTTTACTCCCACTTAACTGTATGTTGCGTGAGGGCCTGATACAGATGTTACTTGATGTTATTTAATAGCTACTGAGGTCAGGCAATCCACGGCCATCATTATGCTAAAATTAAAGTTACTTATGGAAGTTCCAAGACACTTCCAGAATTGGTTTACCTCCTACATGGGAACTTATCCAAGAAGCCCAGAGCGGGCTTACTGGTCAGACTCAACTCTTCCCATTCATCAATCCCTATTCACCAGTGGCGTGGAAAGGGGGTTCTTTAACAAAGCATTATACATAACACCTCTACCAAACTAAACATAAACTTTTTTTTTTGTAGTTAAATGCAGAAAGTCGGTTTTTTTTTTTTTCCACCCCTTTCCTCCTTTTACACGGCAAGTAAAGCTCACTGGCCTGGGAGTAGCCTCTATCTGCCAACCTTTGGCCAGTGAAGAGGATTCAGAGAAAATAATACAACCATCAATCAGAAAAAGGAGGGGCGACAAAGGAAAATAATTAGGCTGTGGCCTCAATTGTGCATTCCCGTGCAAGATGCCCTGACTCGCCACAGCGGTAACAATTGACTTCACTTGTCTTGCTGCAGTTGATGGCTACATGACCAGTCTCACCACACCTAAGGGAAAAAAAAAAAAAAAAGATTTAAGTTTTCCTCTGAACTAGTCAAACTACCTACCAAACAGAATAAAAAGCCATTAACGAGCCAAGGAACACTTCAAGGCTATAAATATTTACATTAATAAAGTAAGGGCAGAAACAAGAAATTATCTTAGAAAATTTGACTGGGTGCAGGGGCACATGTCTGTCATCCCAGCAGCTCAGGAGGCTGAGGCAGGAGGATTGCAAGGTGGAGGCCAGCCTCCACCTCTTAGCAATGCCCTGAGCAACTCAGCGAGACCCTGTCTCTAAATAAAATACAAAATAGGGCTGGGGATGCGTCTCAGTGGTCAAGTGCCCCTGAGTTCGATCCCAGGTACCAAAAAAAAAAAAAAGTGTCCTTAAGAGCTAAGTGCAGTTGTGCATGCCTGTAATCACAGCTACTAAAGAGGCAGAGACAAGAGGATCACAAGTTCTAGACTGGCCTCAGCAATTTAGCCAGACAATGTCTCAAGAACCAACCAACCAACCAAAACAAAAAGTCCTTAAAGACATCAGCTATGCTGGGCAGTAACACACCTGTAATCCTCGCTATTGGGGAGCCTAAGGAAGGAGGATCCTAAGTAAGTTCCAGGCCACCATGGGCAACCTAGCAGGACCTTGTTGCAAAAGGAAAACTAATAGGGACAGCCACATAGAGCCCTGGGTTCACTCCCAGACAGGAAGGTGGGGGGCAGGGGGTTTTGCAAACTGTCCGGGTGCCCTAGCCACGAGTCATCCTGATACACTGACGACCACATAAGCTGCTCCTTATAGGTGCTGAAAAGGAGTGTCATGAGGCCACAGCCAGCTAGCTCCCACTGGAGGGACAGAGCGGCAAGGTCCTTCCACATACACTCACGCCACTTCTGGAGCCTCGGAGCCCCTCCAGGGCCACCCCAACTTACCTATAGCACTTCACTTTGGTGCAGTCTTTCTGAATGTGTCCGAACTCTCCACAAGAATAGCACTTCTGCTCGTCCGCGTGGTCACAGTCACGAGCCAGGTGGCCTGGTTTGCCACAGTTGTAGCAGCACTGCTCTCGCTCTCTCTTGGGCTCCTTGCAGTCCTTGGCGATGTGGCCACCTCTGCCGCAGTTATAGCAGGCTTCAGCAGGAGGGGAAAGAAGCAGACCAAGGCTGTGAACCTCAAGTTCATGGCGCATCGCGTGGAGGGCGGGACCCTGCCAGGCCCCACCCCACACCCCGGGCTCACCTCGGCGGGGGAGGAGCTGCGAGACACTTACCATCCTCCTGAAGGTCACAATCCTTGGCCAGATGACCAGACTCACCACAGCGGTAACAGATGTCTGGAAGAGATGAGGAAACAAACTGGAAACCTATTTTGAGCAGAAGAGAACAAAAAGAAGTCGGCTGGTTAGACCAGTCTTGATACTAAGGAACACTCAAGCGCGGCAACATTTTTTATTCGACAAAAATACCTCTATCCGAGGTAAAACCACCTCTGCCGCGGCTTCTCATTCCACGACCGCGGCCTCCCCCGGTTGGGCACTCCCGGGCCCAGTGGCCAGATCGTCCACACTTGAAACACTCGTTGCTGCTCATGGCTGCAGGTAGATCTTCAAAACATGGAAAAGGACATGACTCAAAGTCACTTTACGTTGGAATGAAACAATCACATCTATATACTTGCATATCAACTGTAAAATACCTACAAAAGTAAAAAATTGTAAAATGTGTACTTTCCGTAATACCCCCACCCAAACACACACTCCGCAGCAATGGGGACTGAACCCAAGGGTGCGTGACCACTGACTGAGCCACTTCCCCAGACTCCTTAGTTTTACAGCACTTCTGCTCGTCTGCGTGGTCATGGTCTTGATGAGCTGCTTAGAGTCTTGCTAAATGGCTGAGGCTGGCCTCCAACTTGCAATCCTCCTGCCTCAGCCTCCAGAGCCACTGGGATTACAGGCGTGCACGACTGTGACCGACTTCCCTTGTTTTTCAGACAGGGTCTTGTTAAATTGCTGAGGCTAACAATGAACTTGGGATGCTCTTGCCTCAGTTTCCCAAATCGCACCCTTCACAATTTCTGATCTTGAAGACTGTTCAAAGTATGTGTGCACCAGGATGTACGTGAACACATTTGTTGATGGGATGATGAAATCCACAGGGTGTCAATGAATATTCAGTACCAGACACAATACTGCCTTCTTATCCCAGGCCACAGATACCCTTTCATGATTGTAAGGCAGTTAAGCTTTAGTTTGGTCAACTGGAAGTCACTGGCTGGGGACAAAGATTGGAATAACTCTAACAGCTGCAGCAGGATTCTGAAGGTCAGAGGTCAGTTGAAAAAAGTGATCTCACTGGATAATCTTAGCCCCTAATAAAACTGCCTGCCTGACAGCAGCTGCCCCATGACTGAGTCAGTCTCCATCAACAACATTTACAAAGACTAAATATTTCTATGTCTACAGGGCACAAATATATTCAAAATATTGGGAAAACAAGGTGGTACACCAAATGCTAAAAGGCTACCCACAGGACTAGGAACATTTGTTATTTGGCCTGTTCTGTTCTTTCCTTTGCCCAAGTTTCTGTAACTTGACGTTTAACACAAGGCTACCAGGCTGGGGTTGTGGCTCAGTGGTAGAGCACTTGCCTCACACATGTGAGGCCGTGGGTTCGATCCTCAGCACCACATAAAAAATAAATCAATAAAAATGAAGATATTATGTCCATCTACAACTTAAAACAACAAAAAAAGACAAGGCTACCTGGAATTTATCTCAAACTAAACTCTCTTACTGGGTGACACTTTGAAATAGAAACAAAAACACCCACTGAAATAAGCGGACTTTGTGCTTCTTATGTAACCATCTAAAAATAATCCCAGGCTATCCCAGAATAGAATACAATGGAATGGAATAGAATGAAATGAAAATCTAACTTCCTATTTCCTTGCTTCCATGGCTACGTATTTTACCCTTCATTTCCCCGCTGAGCAGTGGTACAGTTTTTAAAATACCTTCTTCAAAGCTACAGAAAGGTACCATCATCTAGAAAAGAAAGTTTTCCTTCGAGTAACATTGGATAGCAGAATTACCAGTCCACAGCACCCAAATCCCAAAAGCTGGTTAGGAATTTGGCAGGACCTACCCCACTCTACCCTGTAACCTGTTCATTAACTTGTAGAGAAATCTAGGGACCAGGTCAGGCATGGTGGAGAGTTCTTGGAATCCCAGTGAGTAAGGAGGGTGAAACAGGAGGATCCCAAGTTTGAGGCCAACCTGGGCAATTTAGTGAGACCCCGGCTTTAAAAAAAATTTTAAAAAAAGTGACTAAATATTAAGCTAAAGTGGGTTTTTTTTAAGTTTTCTTTTTTAGTTATAGTTGGACACAATCTTTAGTTTTACTTTTATGTTTATGTGGTGCTGAGGATCGAACCAAGGTTACCACTGAGCAACATACAACCCCTCCCTAAAGTTCAGTTTTAAAGGCATTTCCATTGTTAATAACCAAGAGCCCAACACTTATTTATGCCAATACTCTGCATCTGATTGTTAAGAAGTTTCCAAAAGAATATCTCTACCAACTACTGCTACTTGCTATGACCACGTCGCCAAAAAAGTCTGTTGGCTCCACGGGATATTTGTGGTTTCAAACGTATAATGCACATATAATGCACATTTCATGTCAGAAGAAATCACCCAGGAAAAGAGATTTAAAAATATCAACCTAGAGACTGGGGCTGGGGCTCAGTAGTTGAGCACTTACCTCTCATGCATGAGACACTGGGTTTGATCCTCAGCACCACATAAATAAATATTTGTCTGCATCCATCTACGACTACCCCCCCATTTCCTTTATTCTGCATCTTTTCTAGTTTACACTCAAGATCAGCTTACGTACACTTTTTTTTTGGAGATTTTTATTTTATTTATTTATTTATTTATTTTTAATTTTTTATTGTTGGTAGCTTACGTACACTTTAACTATTACTTTCAATGAGTTCTTTTCATTTAAATACCTACAGTTATACTGTAAGTCAGGCCAAATAGCAAGTCCTAAAAATTTGATTATTTAATATTGAAACAAGATGCTTAACTTCTAGCAAAGGAAAAAAATCTGACTTATTCTAACACAGTGTGTCCCTAAGTTGCCTAGGTTGGCCTCATACTTGTGATCCTATGTGCTTTCTTTTAAATATTTTTAGCAGATTTTTAAAAAATATTTTTAGTAGTTGTAGACAGACACAATGCCTTTATTTTCTTGGTTTATTTATTTTTATGTGGTACTGAGGATGGAACCCAGTGGCTCACACATGTGAGGCAAGCGCTCTGCCACTCAGCCACAACCACAGCCCTCCTATCTCTTTTCTGAGTCCCTGGGATTACAGCCATATGCCACTGTGTCAGGCCTCTCCTTGCCATAGCCACTGAGTACAGCTACATCCCAGTCCTTATTTAGGACTTGCTCAGTTGCCCAGAACTGGCCTCAAATTTGCAATCCTTCTGGCTCCCATTTAGCTGGAATTTGGGGAATGCACCAAGTGCACTAAGCTTCAACATGAACTTCTAGAGATGTAATGAAGGACAGTCCCTGACAATCTCAGCTTCAAAATCATTTTTAAAAATCTGTTCATTTCATAATTGGAAAGTATCAAGGGAAAATGATCTAATGGTCAGAAGATTCCCTTGTCAGTGGAATAGTCAGCAATTAATATGCCAGGCTTAATTTCAGCATAGAAATAACCAATTTTAAAAAAATTTAGCTACTCAAGAACTCATTAACCAATGGGAAGATCTTTCCCAAACTGTTTTTCCATTTTATCTTTTTTTTTAATCTCTACCCATTGGACCCAGATCCAAAGTTTACAGAGGTGGGGGGAGGGGACAGGAAATACTTTAACATTAAGCTCCTCTACTTCATCTTTTTTTTTCTTTCTTTCTTTTCTTTTTTTCTTTTTTTTTTGCAGTACTGGGGGGATTGAGCCAAGGGGGACTTTTAATCACTGAGCTACATTCCAGCCCAGCCCTTTTTATTTTTTGAGACAGGGTCTTGCCAAGTTGCTGAGGCTGGCCTCAAACTTGGGATCCCCGCCTCATAATTCCTACAGTACATTAAGGCAAAAAACCATCAACAAATTCTGTCTCATAATTTCTTATAGTAAATTAAGCCCCCCCAAAAAAGTAAAGAATACAAAATCCCACTTAAAGTCTTAAAAAGGGAAATATCAACTTAATTAATAGCCCAGACCCATCATCAGTATGGCATGCTTTTTAAAGGTGTCTCCAGCAGGCTTAGGTAACGTGCCAGCAAAGTGCCTTCTCTCTGGCTAAACTGATCACCAACAGTGAACCAGCTGGTCTGCGCTTACACTGAATTAACTGGTACCTCCTGATAAGACCTTTCACTTGGGCATAAGTAAACATACAACTGCCACATTCAGAGGCACACTAACTTATCCTAGAAAGCAGTTCCCCACAGCCTAATACTCCTCTTAATGTACAAATACATTTCATGAAAATGTATTCAGAAGCCAGGCTCGGTGGCACATGCCTGTAATCTCAGCGACTTGGGAGGCTGAGACAGGAGGATCACAAGTTCAAGGCCAGCCTCACCAACTTAGGCAACTCAGTGAGACCCTGTCTCTAAATAAAATACAAAACAGGGCTGGTGACTGGCTCAGTGGTTAGGCACCCCTGGGTTCAATTCCTGCTACCAAAAAAAAAGTAAAAATTTCACATTATTCCTTAGGAAAACAAAGATAAGACATGGCTGAGAATTATGTCTCCATGGTTCTGCCTACAACTGCTCCTGGCTGGATTTCCCCACACTGCTCCCCCACCCCTCCCTGCTCCACCTGTCAGGGGCCAACTGACTTGCCAACTCTATAAAAGAATCTGAACACATCTTCCTGCTCTGAACTCTCCTTCCCATTAAGACTCAAAGACACTTTGTTAATATTTGTCCAATGGCACCACTGGATGACCCCATCACATTCTGGAGGGCAGAGACCAAGTCATTCACCTTTGAATCAGCACAACTATCCATAGTTATGGTTCTAGTCGTGTATAACTCAGTTTTTTACTTATTTGGAGGGATGGGAAGGTCTGATAGTCATTTGATAAATCAAGCTAATTGTACCTTGGAGGGACCCTATCCAATCTAATCAAGCACTAACAAAATCACCCAAATTCTTGCTCTCATTCACAAGAATGACCGCACCAACCGATTTAAAGTAGCAATGTATTTTCAAATATGTGCTCATTACGAATTGACTACACTGACTTTGAAACTCCCAACTTTCAGAAATCATAGCTAAGAGTGTGCACATGGATTTTTAGGATTCACAGCTGGCAGTTTCTGAACAGGGATGAAGGCCCAACAGTCTAAAGACACTCCCAACATAAAAATAATCCAAGACAGAAGCAGCTTCCACTTTTGAGATTTCAGTGTATAACAAAGCCATGACTGTGACAGTAGAACCAGAAAGTGCTGAATGATAAAAACAGTATTTACTTTATTGATTTTATCTAAATTCCCAGGCTGAAAAATTTCCACCAGGGGTCACTAAAAAAGCCAGCATCCAGGTCAGTACCCCCAGCTTTTCCTATTAGTCCATAAATTCATAATCAACCAGAATTGTGGATTACATGAACTGCCACAAAACATATATACTAGCTTAACATAAAAATATATATATATACTAGTTTAACATTAAAAATAAAAAAGGGCAGAGTAAGCTATGTGTGCATACCTGTAATCCCAGAAGTTTGGGAGGCTGAGGCAGGATTGTGAGTTCAAAGCCAGCCTCAGCAAAAGTGAGGTGCTAAGCAACTCAGACCGGTTTCTAGATAAAATACAAAACAGGGCTGGGATGTGACTCAGTGGCCAAGTGGGGGTTGAACCCAGAGTGTCACACTTGTTAGGCAACCACTCTACCCTTGAGCTACATCTCCAGCCCTTTTCTCTTTTGCTTTAAAAAAAAAAAAAAAAAAAAAAACAAAAAAAAAAAACACTAACTTCTGCACTGATGTATCCTGACAAGAGTAAAAAGATTTTGGTAAAAATGAGCCTGGCTTAACCCCTAACCCACCTGAATTACTCAAAAAACACATGGCTGTCCTCCCTGTATTTATAAGAGGGAAATGATTAAACTGATCTGTGGCAAGAACTGTTCTGGGGAACCTTGTGCTAATTTATGGATGGCTCTGTGTAAACACCTGTACAGCTGTGTCCTCTGGGAACACTGTCAGCCTTTCCTTTCCACTCTCCCTCCGTTAGTGAGACTCGTCACACATTCATCAGAACTTAGTTCGAGGCCTACACAGCAGGCTCCTGCAGGAGGTAAGTCCACTTACACTCAAACTTCTCATCTTAGAATCTACTTCCTGAATGGAAGAGAATAAAGGGTAAAAGAAAAATGGGTGATGTCCAACCACCATAAGTCAAATATCTATCTAATCCTCGGCCCCAATATCAGTCAAGATGTGCTTAGAAAAGACTGAAAATCCATTGACAGAGGCCACATATGCCAAACTAAGAGGTCGAGCTATTTAAAAAATATACATATTTATTTTTAGTTGTAGTTGGACACAATATCTTTATTTTGTTTATTTTTCTGTGGTGCTGAGGAGCAAACCCAGGGCCTCTCCCATGCTAGGAGAGCGCTCTACCACTGAGCCACAACCTCAGCCCCAAGAGGTCTGGCTATTTTACAAACCAAATTATGCAGGCTTTAAGGATTAAATCCTGGAAAAAAAGCATGCATATGGGGCTGGGGATGTGGCTCAAGCGGTAGTGCGCTCGCCTGGCTATGCGTGCGGCCCGGGTTCGATCCTCAGCACCACATACAGACAAAGATGTTGTGTCCGCCAAATACTAAAAAGTAAATATTAAAAATAATAATAATAATAATAAAAAAAAGCATGCATAGTTATACTAACTCACCTTCAGCAATATCAGTAATGGTACATGTGATGATAATAAGAACAGTCAAGAGGGGCTGGGGATGTGGCTCAGGGGTAGAGTGCTCGTACAGCACATGCGCACGCGCGAGGCCCTGGGTTCAATCCTCAGCACCACAGAAAAATAAATAAAATAGAGGCTGGGGTGGCGACTCAGTGGTAGTGCGACTGCCTAGCATGTGTGACGCACTGGGTTCGATACTCAGCACCACATACAAATAAAGATCCATCAACAACTAAATATATATAAATAAATAAATAAAATAAAGGCATTGTGTTCAATTACAACTAAAAAAGTATATTAAAAAAAAAGTCAAGAACCCCCTTAGGTTTAAGTGCATGTAATCAAGACTAAAATGAGTTCCAACGAACAAACCAATCATAACTACACCCTAAAATGTTTAAATTCTATAACAGGAATGCTGGGGAATAAAAATGACGCTAACAAAGTAGACCATGCAGCTTACTGACTTCACTGTTTCTACCAACACATCTTTATGTGCTCACATCTGTATGCTGTTATCTCCTTATGTCCCCCAAGCTCAGGGTGATCCCTGTCTCTGTATTGTTGACTTAAATGCATTTAGACCCCAGTGGAGCTTTGCCCTCTGAATGTTCTTACTGATCATTATGCTCCAGTAAGTCAGTTGGGTGTCTCAACACGGTACACAAACACTTTGCTTTTGTAATAAAAATAAACTGCCGATACAATAGAAGGAAGCAAGACACATTCGGCATTACCTGCTTTCCAGTCAAAATAACAGAGAACTTGGCACATAATCAGGAGCAATTTTTGTTACCCTGGTTCCTGCATTTACTGCCGAAACATGGTTCATTACATTTATTTCTCTCTGCCCTGATTACCTGTGAAAGTATGAATTAAGAGCTGAACGTGAACTATGAATCAAGCATTAAAAAATATATTATTTGGGGCTGTAGTTCAGTGGCAGAGCGCTTGCCTTGCACATGTGAGGCACTGGGTTCGATCCTCAGCACCACATACAAAAATAAACAAAATAAAGATATTTAAATATATATATATATATATTATTTATAATACCACAATCTGCAAGTTATACATTCTTGCTCCATTTTAATAAGGAAGCAAGATCTGAGACCAAGTGACTTATCCAAAACCTTCTACAGCTAAGAAAATACCAGAACCAGAGGTGGGCGTGGTGGCACATGCCTGGTATCCCAGCTACTCAGGAGGCTGAGGCAGGAGGATGGCGAGTTCAAAGCCAGCCTCAGCAATTCAGAGACCCTGTCCCTAACAAGGTTTGGGGATGTGGCTTAGTAGTTAAGTGCTCTGGGTTCAATCCCCAGTACCAAAAAAGAAAAAAGAAAAAGAGAGAAAGAAAGAAAAGAAAATACCAAAATCAGGATTTTAACAGTGCGAGGCCCTGGATTCAATCCTCAGCACCACAGAAAAATAAATAAAATAGAGGCTGGGGTGGCGGCTCAGTGGTAGTGCGCCTGCCTAGCATGTGTGATGCACTAGGTTCGATTCTCAGCACCACATACAAATGTAAATGGTTTGCAGAGGCTTTTTTTAAGTGATAAAGGGTACCAAAAAAGCTAATATAGGAGCACCAATCTCTCCCTACTTCAAATATACCACATGAGCAAATATGGCAAGTAACTTTTTAAAAAGTTGATTTGAATTTCAATGCTATTAAGTATTCATTGCTTCTCTTTAGGTAAACCAAAGTTAAACTAGACAGATGAGTTTAAAAAATATGTAGTCCCACTCTCAACATATTCACATAGCTTTCCTGAATTTTAAATGGAAGTCATTTTTTTTCTCTTAACCTCCTTTGAGGCAGAACTTGGGGAGCATCCCTGGCCACACCAACACTGGCAACCTGACTCACTAGTTAATACCTTCACCTTGGGTAGTTACAGAGTCACTCCAGGTGGTCCCAGTTACACTGTAGGGATTTCTGGTTAACAAAGTCCTTCAACTTGCAACCTGAATTCTGGTGGTGGCCACAAGCTGTTATTTTATTATCCCAGCAGTTTTTTTTTTTTTTAACAAAACCAGAGAGCACTGCATACAGCTCCTGGGATCTCCTGACAGCATTCCCTGGCTGCAGCACCACCTGCTCCTGCCAGACTGGGCGTCTACTAAGTGACACACTGGTCCACATAGCAGACCAGGGTGCGTGGCTTTCCTCGGGCTCTCCACTTACTGTCAGGAGGCTAAGGAAGAGCAGAGGAGCCAACAGTTTGTTTTCAACTCTCCCTCCTGCAGGAAAAGAGAAAAAAGAAAGAAAAAGAAAAAATCTCTCTGTGGTCAGCTGTTTAGCCAACAGACCAATCATTCCAATTAGTGCTTACAAGCACCAATCTGGTACTTTCCCACAGACCTGCCACATGTTTTAGAAGCTAAAAATAATCCACAAGCATAAATCATATTACCAAATTCATCTATGATTCAGGTATAATACCTTTAAGTAATACCTATAAATCACTTTGCCTGTTCCAGATGTTCAATTGCCTGCCTCAAGAAATGCCCCCTAAATCTTCTCCTGGTTTGGTTCAAAATATTTGAGAGACTTGCAACATCTGTTTGGAATAAATTACCTCTCTGGTAATCAATAGGAAAAGAAAACGTGGCTCTTGGGTTGAAAAATCATAGTTTTCTGATGGGAAGTACACAGATATATACTGTTAGCTTGTGTTGGGGAAACTGTTGCCAAGAGTTGCGATTTGGAAAATGAAAAAATTTAAGTCCTTAATTTAGCCCTTGGGAATCTAATAAATTATTCCTTTTATATTCCAATACACAAAGAGTTCCTTGTAGACAAGAATCAGGCTCAAGAACTTAAAAACTATGTGTATCTAAGACATGACACTGGTTTGATAAGCCTTAATCAAATGGATCTTTTCAGTGACACTGGTTTGATAAGCCTTAATCAAATGAATCTTTTCAATGTTTTAAAAAAAAATAAAGGAAAAGAGGCTGGGGGTTGGGGTTCAGTTGTAGAGCACTTGCCTACCATGCATGAGGCACTGGGTTCGATCCTTAGCACCATGTAAAAATAAAATGCAGATAGTGTCCACCTAAAACTAAAAAAAATCAATATTTTAAAAAATAATGAAGAGGGCTGGGGTTGTGGCTTAGAGGGAGAGCACTCGCCTAGCATGCTTGAGGCACTGGGTTTGATCCTCAGCACTACATAAAGTAAAAAAAAAAGACATTACTTCCACCCATAGCTAAAAAATAAACATTAAAAAAAATAATTATTATTTAGAAAAAAACCAGGGGACTGGGGTTGTGGCTCAGTGGCACTGAGCTCGCCTTGCATGTGTGAGGAGGCACTGGGTTCGATTCTCAGCACCGCACAGAATAAAAAAAAACAAAGGTCCATTGACAGCTTGAAAAAATTAAAAAAATAAAAGTTAAACTCATTAAAATAATAATAAAAAAAAAACAGAAGAGAAGGACGACACTTCGTCCATTTTTTTTTAAACCCTAAGCTTTACATTCAATTTATACTTCTTCAGCAAAGGGGTTACAAAGTTGCTCATTTAAACCCAAAGATTAACTTCGATGCAAACATCCACGGGGTTATGTTTCCAAAACTGGGTCAGACGCCAGGGAACGGGGGGGGGGGTGGGAATCTCATTTGTAAAATGGAATCTGGGCCCATGATGGGGACACACAGGAGTCCCCCCTCTGCTTTCAAAAAAAAAAAAAGGCCACAGACTCCGAGCCTCCTCTGAGCCTCCCTTGGCTGCCTCCTGAATGAGGACGCGCGCCACGTGAAGTCACAGACGGTCCCCGAGCGAAGGGTTTGCTTTGGGGAGACCCCCTCCCACCCCGCCACCCCGCCAGGACCAGACAGATGCACGCCAAGTGCCCTGTGGCCGAGGCCATGTGCTTAGCATGTGGCAACCAGCACCCAACCTCACCCACCCATAAAACCCGAACCCCAACCCCAACCCAGAGGCCGCTCTCAAAGCGGGTCCCCTCGCTATGGAAAGATCTAGATGGAGCCGGGCTGCTCAAGCCCCGCGTCCCCGTCTGTAACCTGCGCCCCTTTAATCCAAGAAGCCACGGCCGCTACTGGCTGCCCCGATCGTGGACGCTGGACCCCAAAAAAAATAAAATAGGATTTTTTTTTTCCCTCTTCCTTCCTGGTCCTGGGGCCCCTGGACTTGGTCAAAAGTGCGGGTGACTCGGCGACAGTGGCCACCGTGCAATGGCAGCAGCGTGGCCAGAGCGGGGAAGGGGGGGGGGCAGGCAGAGCACACCTCGCAGAGCCCCGGCCCCGCGAGCGGAGTGTCCCCCCCAGGTGTCCCCACCCCTCCCCCGTGTCCCCGACCCGCAGGCGCCTCCGCAGGCCCCCGCCCGGCACAGGGACCCCGGCCGCCGCACATGGTCGCCCGACCCCCACCCCGGCTCCCGGGCCTGTCCCCACCCCACCGCCTCTTTCCAGAAAGTTCCCGCCAAATCGACCCTGGGCCCCCCGCTTCCCGGGCCTCCGCGCCAAGGGCACCCTCCGGGCCCGGGCCGCCTGAGGCCTGGGGTGCGGCCTGGGCGCCGGCAGAGGTCCCCCCCCACCCGAGGACCGCGGTCTGGTCCCCGGGAACCCCACGAAGGACACTCAGGGTCGCCCGAGCCCAGTCACGCCGGGTCCCCGAGCCCCGAGCGGCCGCCGCCGAGCTTCCCGCCTGACGCAGCAGCCGCGGCGCAGGCCCCAGTGCGGCCGCCATCGCCGCCTCCTCTCTCGCCTCCCCCTCGTCCGTGCCCGCCTCGGCCGCGGGACCCACCCGCCGTGGCGGTCCTCCCCCTTTCCCCCACCCCGGACCCCAGCCGCCCCCTTCCGCCCTCACCTCTCGGCGTCGGAGCGGGCCCGCGGGCAGCGGAGACTCGGGACGCAGGCCCGGAGAAGGCGGCTCGCCAGGCAGCGGCTGTTTATTTTCAGGGTCCTTGCCTGCGCCACACGCGGGTCTGCACACGGCCCCACACACGCCGCTGCGCACGGCTCGCCTCCGCCTCGCCCACGCGGCCAATCAGCGCGCACGGCTCGGCCGGCCAATCAGGAACGCCCGCGGTGGGTGGGGGGGGCAGGAGGCGGGGCAAGGAAGGACGACCCTGGCACGAGCGCGGCGCGGCGCGGCTCGGACTTCTGGCCTCGGCGCGCGGCCGCGGCTCTTCCCGGCGTGCTCCGCGCGCGGCCTTTTTCCCGCCCGGATCCCAGCCCTGATCTCCTCCCCGGACTTTCCTCCTTTCGTTCCCCGAGGCCCGCCCGGCCCCTGGGGAAGTCGGCCGACCCCGCCCTGGGCAATGTCACCCAGGGAGTGTGTGGAGGGCCGCGTTCCGAGGGCGGTGACTCTTAATTTGCGTGGAACCGAGGAAAAGCCCCCCCCCCCCGCTCGGGCTCCTCCTGTGGCTGCAGCTCTAGGGCCGCAGGGGCCTCTGGGAAAAATTATTATTTTTTAATTTATTTAAAAAAAATTTTTTTTTTGACCAGAGACATCGGACCTAGGGGGTGCTTAACCCCTGAGCCACGTCCCCAGCCCTATTTTTGTATTTTATTTAAAGACAGGGTCTCACTGAGTTGCTGAGGGTCAGGCTCAATTTACTGAGGCTGGCCTCCAACTGTGATCCTCCTGCCTCAGCCTCCCAAATGGCTGGGTTGACAGGCCTGCTACGCCTTGGCTTTCTCTTTTTGTTCTTTTTTCCTTCTTTTGAGACAAAGGTCTCTACATTTCCAAAGCCGCCTTGGAACTTGAGATCCTCCTGCCTGGTTCCCCAGCAGGTGGTATTACAGGCCTGTGTCATTGTCACCCCCCTCCCCCGCTGAGATTGTTGGTTTTTTTGTGAGTGATCCTGGGCAGAGCCTAAAAGACCTGGATGCTCTCATCACCAGGACTGGTGTTCCCTCCCAAGGGAGGATGTAGAGGACAAGAACAGGCTGTGTTTATGACAACAGTGCTTGTGATGTCCCCTAGGATTTAAGACTGAGAGGCCAGAGAGACTACTTGACTTGGGCTATCAACATTCAAGAATGGCCTTTACTTTTTTGTTTTGTTTTTAGTACTGGAGATTGGACCCAGAAAAGCTTTATCAATAAGCCCCATCCCCAGAACTTTTTTTTTTAAAAAACAGGGTCTCAGTAAGTTGCAGAGGCTGGCCTCCAACTTGCAATCCTCCTCCCTCAGCCTCCCAAGTCATTGGGATTGCAGGTGTTTACTACTGTGCACCCCTAGGAATAGCCTTGCATTTGAAATTTTCTAAAATATATATATTGTCCTAGATTCTCAAGGAAAAAAATCTGAAAGGTTTTCATCTAATTGAAAATATTCATTTTAGACCCTGGGTTTCATCGCCAACACTTAAAAAAAAATCAGTCTGAACCAAAACATTCTAGTACTTTCTGTCCCATTTTGGAATGGCTTTTATTAGAAGCAAGAAAGAAGTGGAAGATTCTCAAGTCTCTTGAACTGCAAAAGGTACTGAAATGACTATAGTCTCATACAGAATAGGGTCTGTTCCAAGTTTTTGGCTGGTGTTTCCAACAGTGGAGGCTTATGGGTTTTTTACTATTTTTTTAGACGTTGATGGACCTTTATTTTGTTCAAATTATTTCTATGTGGTGCTGAGAATCGAACCCAGTGCCTCATACATGCTAGGCCAGCGCTCTGCCACTGAGCCTCAACCTCAGCCCCTATTTTTGATTTTGAGATTTTTACTTTTTTTTCTTTTTTTGATATCAGGGATTGAACCCAGGGCCGCTTAACCACTGAACCTCATCCCCAGCCATTTTTTATTTGATTTAGAGACAGGGTCTCACTGAGTTGCTTAGGGCCTCACTAAGTTGTGAGGCTGCCTTTGAGTACTTGATCCTCCGGCCTCAGCCTCCTGAGCTGCAGAGACTACAGGTATGTCCCACCACACCCAACTTGGAGTCTTTATTTCTTTCATGATTATCTTTTTGTCTTTGAAGTTGAGTGCACAAATCTATTAAAAGAAAAATGAGGAAGTACAGTCCTTGTTGTGGCTCTGTAGATTTGGTCTCAGTGGATTCTTCAAATTCCAAAAGGATGGCCAGGGGCGGTGGCCCATGCCTATAATCCCAGGAGTTTGGGAGGCTGAGGCAGGAGGATCGCCAGGTGGAGGCCAGCCTCAGCAACTTTTCGAGGCCCTAAGCAACTCAGGGAGACCCTGTCTCTAAATAAAATGCAAAAATAGGGCTGGGGACGGGGCTCAGGGGTTGAGTGCCCCCGAGTTCCATCCCCAGTGCCAAAAAAATATTTTTTTTTTCAGAAGGATGATTGTTGGAAAGTTTTAAGGATTTGATTACTGGCACAGTGGTGCATGGTAATCCCAGCCACTCAGGAGGAGGCTGAGGCAGGAGGATTGCAAATTGGAGGCCAGCCTAGGTAACTGATCTAGACCCTCTCAAAAATAAAAAAATTGAAAGGTCCAGGGATATGGCCCAGTGGTAAAGCATCCCTGGATTCAATTCCCCAGTACAAAAAATAAAATAAAAAATAAAACTCAAGGTTTGAGTCAGGCATTAAACCTGGGTTTCAATCCTTAGTGCTTAGTCATTGCAAAGCATTTATCAAATTAGGGTGATTTAAAAAAAAAAAAAGAAAAAAAAACACAAATTAGGGTGATAAATTTACAGAGTCCAAAAAAGGTAAGGATTACCAAGGAGGGAATATATGGGTGATTTCAAGGATCAATAATATTTTCAATTTTTTTTTCTTTAAACCACAACCATCTAAAGTCAAAATGCTTTTAAAAATTCAGAATGAAAAGGCCTCATCCTTAATCAGGTTTAATAAATGCCTGGCAGTTTTATGCATTGAGCTCCAACACCATGATAAAATGGGATTTTTGTATTTAGACAGTTGTAGGCCAAGAAGCTGACGAAGCTTTATAGATTTATAGATCTCTCCTCCTTAATCTGATTAATCTTTGTAATAGCTCAAGGTAAAGGTGTTTACAGACACTTATGTGAGGCTCAGTACGAAGTCCAGCCAGCGAGCCTCACCCCACACCAGGAAGACAAAATTATCAGGGGACATGAATATGGATTCTTTTTTTTTTTTTTTTTTTGGTACCAGGGATTGAACTCAGGGGTCCTCAACCCCTGAGCCCCGTCCCCAGCCCCTTTTTCTATTTTATTTAGAGACAGGGTCTCCCTGAGTTGCTTAGGGCCTCCCTAAGTGGCTGAGGCTGGCCTCCAATTTGCGATCCTCCTGCCTCAGCCTCCGGAGCTGTTGGGAATTACAGCTGTGCACCACCACTCCCGGCCATAAATATGGTTGAAATATTAACGTTTTTAAACCAGCTAAAGAAAATGGTATTTTTAAATAAATAAAATTCATTTAAATAAACTTTAAATAAATAAATAAAAACTTTTTATTTGTTTTAAATAAACAAAACTTCTAGTAAGTTTTAAAAGACTTGAGTAGAAAAAATGGAAACACAAAGAGGTGTTGACCGCTTGGTGTTGGGAGTTGTTGCAGGAGACAGCTCCTGTCTCCCTGGTATCCAGCTGTGATGGCTGTTATTACTAAAGCCAGACTGGTCATGAAGCAGTATGACTGTCCCCAAACAAGGTCTCTGATGGAACTTAAGTACAGGCCTTGTACTCCCCGAATGTGCGCTTGGGAACACCTGTTCCGCTAGGGATGTTGGGAAATGAAGGAAAAAACCTGACACCGTGGTACCTGTCTGTAATCCAAGTGGCTCAGGAGGCTGAGGCAGGAGGATCGAAAGTGGAGGCCAGCCTCAGCCACTTAGCAAGGCCCTAAGCAACTCAGCGAGACCCGGTCTCTCAATAAAATATAAAAAGGGCTGAGGAGAGGGTCAGTGGCAGAGCACTTGCCCAGCATGCATGAGGCACTGGGTTTGATCCTCAGCACCACATAAAAATAAAGAAAGAAAATAAAATCATTCTGTCCATCTACAACTACAAAAAAAAATTTTTTTAAAGGGTTTAGGATGTGGCTCAGTGGTTAAGTGCCCCTGGGTTCAATCCCCTGTTCTAGGAAAAAAAAAAAAAAAAAAGAGTCCTCAGAAAGTATATAAATTCTGGAAGAGGGACCATCTAGAATACTGATTCAGCATGATTCAGGATTCCTTAAAATGGGAAGCAGTTGGCTGCCAAAAAATCTCTTCGTTTCTGTTGAAATGGCCAACTGCAGAGCACATGCCTTAGATTCTGCTATTATTATTGAGATGATAGATAAATCTTTCCGGGTTTTGTTTTCTCTGCCAACAGGAAAATGGTGTTCTGTGACTTGACTTGGAAACTATGTGGCTGAGGTTGAGAAGACTAAATTGATGTTTTCATCCTGCGTGTCTGCTTCACTAAGCTACATCCGGAACTAGGAATCAGCAACGAATAACTCATCATTTAATATTGTATACATAAAGCTCCTCTAACAACACCAGGCAAGGCTCAGTGGCCCACGCCTGTCATCCCAGCAGCTTGGGAGGCTGAGGCAGGAGGATCGCAAATTGGAGGCCAGCCTCAGCAACTTAGGGAGGCCCTAAGCAACTCAGCAAGCCCCTGTCTCTAAATTAAAAAAAAGGGTTGGAGACGGGGCTCAGGGGTTAAGCACCCCTGGGTTCAATCCCCCCAAAATACCCCAAATATAAAATGCCAGGCAGAAAGTAATCATTATTAAAGTATTATCTGATTAGAACAAATTTTAAAAAATGAAATAAAAAAGAACCAATGATATAAGGTTTTGAGTTCGAATCTCATTAACAAAAGCTCTTTCTAGGGGCTGTGGCTGAGGCTCAGGCTCAGTGGTAGACACTCACCTAGCACGTACGAGGCCCTGGGTTCCAGCCTCAGCCCCACATCCAAATACATAAAATTAAAGTATTGTGTCCACCTACAGCCAAATTTTTGGGGGGCGCGGGTGACTGGGGATTGAATCCAGGAACACTATACCACTGACCCACGTCCCTAGTCCTTTTTTATTTTGAGTGTTTTGCTAAGTGGCTCAGGGTCTTGCTGAA